CCGTAGAGATCAAAAACTGGAAATGACAACTCACCATAACAGACCAGGCAGTATAATTTCCAAGCGGAAATCGCTTCATCGGAGGCCTCACTGATGATGTCACCGAGCATGGTGATGAAACGTCCGAACGAGAATAAGCCAGCTCGATGAGCAAGTCAACAACCTCACCCACAACCCGAGCTACAGGTCTTTGCTAAAACTTTAAACCTTAAAAACTTTGGTGATCTCTGGTTGCTGAGCCTGCTGCCAATGGAAAAAAGGTTCTCCCTACTTCCTTGTTTCTGTCCAGCTACTCCAGTTCCTCAGAACCAAAAAGTCATTCATTCCTCATACCAATTTATTAATTTCTTCTGCACCATCTCAAGAATCTGGACGTGCTTCCTAAAGTGTGGCATCCAGCTCTGATAATACTCTACAAAACCCTACAAAACCTGCCCCTCTCCACACACTCCCTCCATGCCCCACTCCCACATTTGCCTCCTCCCTCTCCTTCCCCTTCCCCCAAGGGAGAGAAGAGAGTAGTGGTGATGAGAGACTTAAGCTTCATAGGCCTGGAGAAAGCTCATGAGCGGGGCATGAATTATATTATTCCTACATATTACTGAGAGTTAAGGAGGAGGTTTACAAAATGGTTTTAAAAAAGGTGTAGCATAGCTTATGTAACAACATGACCTGGCCATTCAGCCCCTCAAGCCTGCATCACCATTCAGCAGGATCACGGCTGATCCCATCTCGGCCTCAACTGCACTCCCCATAACCCTTCAACCCATTACTAACTGCAATTATCTCTATCACCTCCTCAAATTTACTCAATGTCCCAGCATCTGCCACACTTGGTGAGGGTTTGGTGGTGGGGTGTTCCACAGATTCACACCATTTGAGAAGTAATTTCTCGTCAGTTTTAAATTTTCTATCATTGGTTTTCACTTGAGCGGGAAATGATATGGGGCAACCTGATAGAAGGGAACAAACTAAGCCTTTTCCCCCAGGGTAGAAATGTCTATTTGTAGGGGAGATAAAAGTTTAAGGTAATGAGGTGGAAACTTTAAAAGGAGATGCGAGAGGCAGACTTTTTTGCACAAGTGCCTAGAATGCCTTGCCAGAGGTGGTGGAGCAGGCAGGTACAACAGCACTATTTAAGAAGCATCTTGATATATGTAAATAGGCAGCGAAGAGAGGGATACAGACCGTGTAGAAGCAAAAAGGTTTTTAGTTTAGAGAGACGTAATGTGTCGGTGCAGGCTTGATGGGCTGAAGGGCCTGTTCCTGTGTTGTACCGTTCTTTTGTACATCCCTCCCACGCTCACCAGCCCCCATCTCCACCACATACTCGCAACCCCTCCATTCCACACTCAACCCCTCCCCCCTCCTCGTACTCATCCCCTCACCCTCCCACATGCCCCCTCCCCACCCTCACCATCCCATGTGCCCTTGCCATCCCTGCCTCACACTCACCTCAAACCCCTTCCTCCCACAATCGTGCCCCCTCCCTCCCCATGACCTCCCACCCCACAATCAAACTCCAGTCCCATACTCACCCCCTCCCTCAGCCCATCCACCTTCGCACCCTGCCACCCCCTTCTTCCTCCCCACTTGCTCCTTCTCTCCCACACTCGGCCCCTCCGATACTCCCCATCCCCACATCCACACCCTTCTGACACATGCCCCTCCCAGACCTCCACCCTACAAAACCTGCCCCTCTCCACACACTCCCTCCATGCCCCACTCCCACATTTGCCTCCTCCCTCTCCTTCCCCTTCCCCCAAGGGAGAGAAGAGAGTAGTGGTGATGAGAGACTTAAGCTTCATAGGCCTGGAGAAAGCTCATGAGCGGGGCATGAATTATATTATTCCTACATATTACTGAGAGTTAAGGAGGAGGTTTATAAAACCCCTTCTCAAGTTGTCCAGGGACCTCTGAAGACTCACGTACCTGTAATGTCCAGAGCAGCTTATCCTTCAATCAGATCACAGACATTTTGTTGGGGTCACTTAACCTGCCTACATCACAAAGTACCTTTAAAATGAGATACGAAAGGACCTGCCTTTTCTTTTAAAAAAAAAGCAACACTATTTGTCTTTTTAAGAGCATGATGCTGTTGCTGTCTGCTATAGCCAGGGAAATGGGAGTTGTGAGATGGATGAATCAACCTAGAGTGATTGAGAGGGGTCTAGCTGGGTTGAGGATGTACAAGCTGGAGACCATCTCATCCATTGTTCAAGAGCTTTGCGAGAAATACCTTTTCTTGAACTGAAACAAGGTGTATCCCAGCCAGAGAGTACCGAGCATCAATAGCAGACTGAGCACAGCCGTGTCTCGGCCACACGCCTCGCCGTCAGGATATGTGCTATTGATCGCAGGAGTGGTGTTAGACGGAGAGCTGAGATCCTGGCTCCATCCAAAATGGTTTGAATGCCTTTCAGTACAGAAGTAATAACTCTGAAAAACTAAAAGGAAGGGGAGAAAAATGGGTAAGTAGCCAGCATTGTGATCCCATCCTCCATCGACACCAAGCTCAATACTGAATGCATTATTTTACAGCAATAGCCTGTATTAACAGTGCCTTTAACCTAATAGAATGCCCCAGGCTGCTTTATAGCATCATAAGTGAAGCCAAAATTTGACTCCAAGCCTTGCAAGGTGAGATTTGGGCAGATGGTAAAACATTTAGCCAAAGCATGAGGCTTTAAGGAATTCCTGGTGAACTCCCAGATTCTGTGCCCAAGGGTATTGTGGGTCAAGCCACAGCAGGGGGACTGTTTTTTTTCCTTTATTTATTCATGAGAGGAGGGCATCGCTGATCAAGCAGCATTTGTTGCCCATCCCTAATCGCCCGAGGGCAGTTGAGAGTCAACCACGTTGCTATGGGTCTGGAGTCACATGTAGGCCGGACCAGGTAAGGATGGCAGTTTCCTTCCCTAAAGGACATTAGTGAACCAGACTGTAACAGTTCAAGACGACAGCTCACCGCCACCTTCAAAGACAACTAGGGATGGGCACAACCAGTGATGCCCATGTGCCATAAATAAATTTTGTAAAAATCTTAAGAAAAGGATAAAAGAGAAGCACAGAGTCAAAGACTTTGAGAGAGGGAAATCCAGAGCTTAGGCTCCAGGCAGCTGAAGTGGAGTGAACAAAAACAAGAGAACTGGGGGAGATAACAAGGTGTAGAGCTGGATGAATACAGCAGGCCAAGCAGCATCAGTGGAGCAGGAAAGCTGACGTTTCAGGTCTAGGTTTGTTTTTTCTTATTTGTTCAAGGGACTAACTGCCTGGCTGAGCTACTGCAGTCCATTTGTGTGGTTAGGCAGGGAGTTCCAGGACTTTGACCCAGTGACACTGAAGGAACAGCAATATATTTCCAAGTCAAGATGGCGTGTGGCTTGGAGGGGAACTTGGTGGCATCCAATGCATCTACTGCCCCTTGTCCTTCTAGATGGTTGTGGGGCTGGAAGGAGCTGAAGGAGTACAGATGTCAGCGTGCTGTGGGACTGCAGGAGACTAGAGACAGAAAGGGCCAAGGACATGAAAAAAATGCTGAAGAGACCATGGGTGAATATTTTAGAAATCGAAGCATTGTTTGGCCAGTGCTGATCACCAGGCATCAGGGTGACGGGATTTGGCATAACTGGCTAAGTCAGCATTTCTTGGCCATCCCTACTTGTGCTGGGACAGAGTGGCTTGTTAGGTCAGGCCATTTCAGAAGGCGAGTTAATCACATTACTGTGGGTCTGAAGTCACACACACAGACCAGAATGGATGAGGATTGACAGAGTTCCTTCCCTAAAGGACAAGAGTGAACCAGAGGGGTTTTTACAACAATCGACAATGATTAGTTACGTGGTCACATTAGGCTAGCTCCACCTGAAAAGGATGGTAAAATTCAATTCAATTGCAGAAAGAATTTGATGAATATTTGTAGAGGGGGTGAGTTGACAAAGACTTTGGGAACAAAGAGTGGATTGGGATCACTCGAAGAAAGTTCTGAATGGCAGAATGGGCCAGTTGTGTGCTGTTAGATATGGAAGTAAAACAGGATGGTTGGACTCTTCCTCCTTGCTTGCGTTTGGAGTTTGCAACCTGGACAGTGGTAGGTGAAGGAGAAAAGAAAACAAACAAACAGAGGCAGAGAAAAGAAATGGCGGCAGAGAAAAATAAAGGCACCGATTTCCTTCTTACGGACTTACTTTTGGCCAGTCCTTTACACGCATCCACCACAAAAGCAATAGATATGAAAACTGCCAGGATCTCATCAGTCGATCTGTGAAAGACATGGGGAAGTAGATCACGGTTAGCTGAAAAATGTAAAAAACTAGGCATGCTCACATTTCTGGTAATGCACAATTCAACAGAGAGTGAGCCCAAGAAGGTTCATAAAGAATATCCATATAACCATTAAATGTGAACAAATACCCCGTGTTGTTGAATAAGCTGGATTGCAGAAGAATTGAATACAATGTTTGAGATGACACAAAAAACTTGGAAGTAGTCAGCAGGACCATAGCAGACTTTAGAAGGACAGATCGGTAAAATGAGCAAGATACATTGACACATTAAACTTTTCTGTGAATGGATGCATTTTAGAAGGTGAAGTAAAGAGATATAAGAAACTAAAAATGGTACAATTTTAATGATGTATGAGCAATGAGACATAGAATCCCTAGTGTGGAAACAGGTCCTTCAGCCCAATAAGTCAACACTGACCCCTGGAGCACCCCAACCAGACCTATCCCCTTATAATCCACCTAAGCTACACATCCCTGAAACACTACAGGCAATTTAGCATGGCCAATCCACCTAACCTGCACATCTTTGGACTGTGGGAGGAAACCGGAGCACCCGGAGGAAACCCACAGAGACACGGGGAGAACATGCAAACTTCACACAGACAGGAGGTGACCACTAAAAAATATGATAAAGAGATATGATTTTTGGTGTTGTAAATAGCGGCATATGTACAGAAGATTAGAAGATGTGTTACACCACTATAAAATCATTGGCTAGGCCCAAGTTACAATCTTGTCATTTTTAGGAATTGTCAAGACTACAGAAGGTTGCAGAGGAGATTTGCCTTTGAATGAGGAGTCAAATTTAATAACCCAAAATTCCAGTTGTGTTGAAGTAGTTAGCCATTCCCAACTGCAAATTCAATAAAAAGGTTGAGACCAAAGTTAAGTCATAGACAGAGTCTGACATATTACAGCATGGGAAGAGGCCCTTCAGCCCATCTTGTCAGCATCGGTCATCTAACATCTATCTCGTCCAACTGTACTTTCCAGCATTCTATCCGTAGCCTTGGGTGCTATGGCATTTTAAAATGCTCATTTAAATAGATCTTAAAAATCTTGAGGGTTCCTGCCTCTAGTACCTTTTTAAACTAGGTGTTCCAGATATCCACAACTCTTGGGAAAAAACATTTATCCTCAACTCTGCAGCAAACCTCCTTTTTCTCACCTTAAAACTGTTCCACTGATCATTGACCCTCCATGCTTAGCCAATCTGCACCCTTTAATACTTCATACACCTCAGATATCCTGGACTTGCATCTCCAGCTTAGTCAAACCTGTGGAAGCTGGTTACGTGACCTCACTCAACAATTGAAAAGTTTGAGCACAAAGTCACGGAGCTCTGCGCAAGTCATCAGTTGACAAAGATCTCCCTGTGAAAGGACGTCCAAGCATGACGAAACTCGAGAGAAATTTTTTTTTAAAAAAAAAGAAGTGTTGATCAGAGGGGAAGTGGAAGATTGTGGCATGAAGCAGACATTGCTAAGGAGTAAGTGATTGCTTAAGAGATTCCTCCAGGAATTTTGTCGCCCATACTGAAACACAAGGCAAATGTCAGTTGAAAACAAAAAAAAAGTTCAACAAGCTGACATTCTCTCCAATGAGGAAAGGGTGAGAATCAGGGTTTCTCACAAGGTCAAAAGGAGCTCTTTTAAGATACTTCATGGCAAATCAAGCAGAGATCGATCCAAACTGCACTGCAGTCCTTCAAGAAAGGGGAGTCGCCCTGGTAAAGAGGCTGGTCCAGCAGATCACATGCAGCAATGGATGGCTACACTGATTGAAGACTACACACAGCACCTATCCCATGGCGAGGCATGAGGTGGCTATGGCAGCAATTATCAGCTGCACATTGCTCTTACCCATATACGAACAAGCAGGCACCATGAGGAATTTTTAATGTGGATAAAACTGGACTGTTCTGCCTCCTTCTGTCAGAATATCCTTTACATCTTTCATCTTTAAAGATGAAAGTCAGATGTACAGCACAGAAACAGACCCTTTGGTCCAACTTGTCCATGCTGACCAGATATTCTACATTAATCTAGTCCCATTTGCCAGCATTTGACCCATATCCCTCTAACTCCTTCCTATTCATATACCCATCCAGATGCCTTTTAAAATGGTATAATTGTATCAGCCTGCACCACTGCCTCTAGCAGCTCATTACATACACGCACCACACTCTGCGTGAAAAAGTTGCCCCTCAGGTCCCTTTTAAATCTTTTTCCTGTCACCTTAAATCGAGTTTTGGACTCCCCTACTCTGGGGAAAAGACCTGGCTATGCATGCCCCTCATGATTTTATAAATCTCCAAAAAGGTCACTCCTCAGCCTTCAACCATCCAGGGAAATAGCCCCAGCCTATTGAGCCTCTCCCTATAGTTCAAACCCTCCAACCCTGGCAACATCCTTGTAAATCTTTTCTAAACCCTTTCAAGTTTCACAACATCCTTCCTATAGCAGGGAGATCAAAATTGAATGCGGTATTCCAAAAGTGGCCAAACTAATGTCCTGTATAGCCACAACATGACTTCAACTCCTTTACCCAACGCACCGACCAATAGAAGCAAGCATACCAAATGCCTTCATGACCCGGTCTACCTGCAATTCGGCTTTCAAGGAACTATGAAACTGCACTCCTATGTCTCTTCATTCAGCAACACTCTCCAGGACCTTACCATTAAGTGTGCAAGTCTTGCCCGGATTTGCCTTTCCAAAATGCAGCACCTCACATTTATCTAAATTAAACTCCATTTGCTACTCCTCGGCCCATTTGCTTATCTGACCAAGGTCCTATTGTACTCGGAAGTAACCTTTTTTGCTGTCCACTAAACCACCAATTTTCGTGTCATCTGCAAACATACTAACCATTACTTCCTATATTCCTATCTAAATCATTTTATATAAATGAAAAAAAGCAGCAGACCCAGCACCGATCGTTGTGGCACACCTCTGGTCACAGGCCTCCAGTCCGAAAAGCAACCCTCCACCACCACCCTCCGTCTCCTACCCTTGAGATAAGTTTGTAAGTGACAGAAAGCAAGGAAAGTAGAGCAAAGTACATATCATTGCTATGGTCCTCACTCACATGCAAAATAGCACCTAAAAGCTTCCACTCCCTGTGACAGGAATGTCCTATTCTTGCAGATGCACGTTTTTGTATGTTTGTGCATTCATAAAGCCGGAAGGGTTGTAACTGCCCAGTTAAAATCTAATTCCAATTCCATCAACTCTAATTTTGCCCTAAACGTAAATAGAGATAATTGATGGCTCTCGTTACAGTGGGATCCATAAAACTTCCACCCACTGCCCCCAGTATAACAGTTCATGGATTTACGAATCCTTCGAGATTCCAGTCATTTGCAAAGAATTCATCACCTTAGTGATTTAATGTTTTAATGAATCCCAGTCAGCTGTTTATAATTTGTTGGTGGGTTTAAAACTGCCTTTATGTTGTACTCCTTCACACCTCCTGCAGCTTCCTCATTGAGAAGAGCAGAAAGATTATTATTGCAGGTAACTACTCTGTGCACTCTGGTATCACTGGTCTTAGGAACGTCAGCTTCAGGCTCCAACACCATGGCCACCTGCACAAGATTGCTGACGCCCAGATATCCGGTCTGCCGAGTATTTCCAGACCCATGAGACCATTAGGAATAGAAAGAGGAGTAGGCTGCTTGGCCCCTCGAACCTGCTCCACCATTCAATAGGATTGCGGCTGATCCAACATTCTTCACTGCCCTCTCCCCATAATCCTCGATGCCCCAGCTGATCAAGAATCTTTCCCAGCCTTAAATATACACAGGACTCTGTGGCAAGGAGTTCCAAAGACACTCAATCTTCAGAAAAAAAAAATCCTCCTTATCTGTCTTAAATTGGTGCCCCTTTACTCAGACTATATATCTGGTCCTAGATTCCCCCATGAGAGGAAACATCCTTTCTGCATTTACCTTGTCAAACCCCTTAAGGATCCTGTATGTTTCAATGAGATCACCCTCTCACTCTTCTAAACTTCAACAAATCCCAACTGATTTAACCTTTGCTCATAAGACAATCCCTCTGTGCCAAAGATCATCCTAGTGAACCTTCTCGGAACTGCCTCCAATTAAATGATATCTTTCCTTGAATAAGGAGACCAAAAATGCTCAGTGCTCCAGATGTGGTCTCACTAGCACCTTGCACAGTTGCAGTAAGACTTCCCTACTCTTATACTCCAACATTTGTAATGCCTTTTACGGTAGACGATCATGGGGTTGGATAGCTCAGTTTGTTGAATGGCTAGCTTGAGATAGAGTGATGCCAGCAGCATGGGTTCAATTCACTCACTGGCTGGAGGTTACCACTAAGGACTCTCCTACTCAACCTCTCCCCTCACCCAATACCAAGGGAAGGCGATGGCCTAGTGGTATTATCGCTGCACTGTTAATCCGGAGACCCAGGTAATGTTCTGGGGACCTGGGTTTGAATCTTACCATGGCAGATTGTGGAATTTGAATTCAATTAAAATGTCTGGAATTAAGAAGCTTATGATCCATTGTCGATTGTCGGGAAAAACCCATCTGGTTCACTCATGTCCTTTAGGGAAGCAAACTGTTATCCTTACCTGGTCTGGCCTACATGTGACTCCAGACCCACAGCAATGTGGTTGACTCTGAACTGCCCTCTGGGCAATATATACTGCCTGGTCAGTGACACTCTCATCCTATTAATGAATAAAAATAAAGGAGTAGTCTCTCTCTAATGACAGAGAAGCTCAATGCCTGGTAAGGTCATGATTTTTTTTTTAGTTCATTCACAGGATGAGGTTGAGTGGCTAGACCAGCATTTATGCCCATCCCAGAGGGTAGTTAAAAGCCAACCACATTGCTGTGGTACTGGAGACAAAATGTAGGCCAGACCAAGCATGGACAGCAGTTTCCCTCCCTGATGGACATTAGTGAATTGAAATTCAATTGAATTCAATTTCCACCACCTGCCATGGCAGGACTCGAACCCAGAACATTACCTGGGTCTCCGAATTAACAGTCCAGCAGTAATATTAGTGGGCCAGCACCAATGGCAATATTTTAAACAAGATCAGGCCTTGGCAAAATGGGAACAAACTGAGAAAAGAAACACACTTAAAAGCAAAAACCGATTTTGAGCTTTACCTGATTTCATTCGGGATTTCTTGTCGACAGAGCACATTTGTAAAAAAAAAATCAGGTTACAAACAGGCTTCCCTAAGCCATCTCAAAAGAACAATGTTACACAAAATTGCAGGCAGGTCTCTTGCAACTGACCCACCGTGATTTCACGGTTTATAATAAGATCAACCACAATCGCAGTGATGGTGGAGCAGGTTTAAAGGAGCTGGGTGGCCTTATTGTGCTTTGAAATTCTCTGTTCCAGTGGCTAGAGAAACTAAGACTGTAGCAGTTACACCAGAGAAAGTTTCCAGAAGGTTTGAACTGAGGTATGAAGAATTTCTGAAGAGTAGTGTAAGTGAGGAGAAACGTTTTGTGGCTGGGTCAGAGGATACAGAACTAAGACAACTCGCAAACATCAGTAAGGCAATATTTTTTTTAAAAATTAACACAAAGAGCTTGTTATGAAGATCTGGAAAATCTCTGTCTCCGATCAGATTCCAAGAGTAACTTTCGGAAGGGAGCTGATTAAATACTTGACAAAGAAGAAAATAAAATTGTCAAGTAATCGGATTCATTTGAGCTGTAAAATTCTGATAACTCTTGAGGACTAGAATTAAGCCATAAAACAACAATTTTGAACAACTTAACTGAACATGACAATTGGCTAAATTAGAAAGGTGATACGGTGATACTGCATTGTCACTGGTACAGAATTCGTGCATCAGTCCAACAGCCTCAGGCATCCCCTGAAGACAGTCCAAAAGGAGTTAGATCTTTAATAAGCCAGTTGTAACTTTAAGACGCATCAGTTAGAATGGTGACCAATCGCGTGTTATTCAAAATTACCAGAACAAAATCCAAGCTTGAAGCTCAGGACATGTTTAATATTGGATTTGTTGTCACTCAGCCACAGGGAATATTCAGCACTTTAGTTCTGCGTTGACACTCAAATGGTCAGTTCAGCTTTTTTCACTCTTATTGTTCATTCTCAGGATGCAGGGAAGGCCTGCATTTACTGCCCATCTCTAGCTGCGCTTGAAGGGACAATGGGATGACCCACTTGGTGCCACTGCAATGCAGGGTTTGATAAAACCACGATGAGGCTCACTCAGAGAGCACTTAAGAGTCAACCCTGCTGGTGAGGGGCTGGAGTATCGATAGGCCTCAATGGGCAACTCACTCTCCAACAGGTGAGCAAGATGGAACTTTTGACCCATCATTAAAAGCCTATGATTCCTTTCACTGATATCAACTCATGAGGTTAGGTCAACAGCCCATGAAGCCAACAGCCCATTGATACACATAGCACAAGGAACAGCTATAGGGGTTTCTGGCTTCATCATCAGCTGCCATAAAGTCATCATGGTCATCATATCATGGACGTACCTTTTTTTTTCCCTCCAAAGTCACTGGGTCAATTCTCTAGAATTGATCTGACTTTATTGTATATTCTGTTAACATTACCTGGGTCTCTGGATTAATAAGCTAACGAGGCCACTTAACTCTATGGTAGATGTACCATGAGTGGTTCGAGATGAAATCCCACCAGCAGCTGTTCTAGGCACCTATGGAGAGATAATAACTAGAAACATTCTTCTGTTGCTCAGAACTGAAGAACAAACATGAAACCCTCCAAGGGTTCCTTCAGACCCGAGAATGGATCCCCTGCTAATCTACATCTTCCGAGATGGAAGGAATGCCACAAGTGGCCACAATCAAGTTAATAAATCACCAGCAAGTTTTTCTTTTATGGCTTACCTTTTGAAAAACTTCTTCAATAAACTTAAATTAGCAACACCATAGAGGATACAGAAGAAACAATTCCACAAGCCAACACAGGCGTAGAATGCAAAGAAATTCAGATTGTAGTCATCGCAGATACCCTGGATTACTGCAGGGGGGAAAAAGAACATTTGATCACCAGAGGACACAAAGCAACTTCAAGATAGGCAGGAACACAGGTATCGAATAGGTGACTTCCTCCTGCCAATTTCCAATGGCAATTACAGAAACACATCAGGCACCAGTTGTTTAAAAATTAAACAGTTGGCAAATCCATAAGGAAATAGGAACTTTTGAAATAACTGTGGATTCCTCAAATCAAATCAATTGTTTCTTCTGCCAGAATTAGCAGAGTTTTAGGTTGGTTGGATTTTGTGTTGAATGAATGGAGATAAGAAGCAACCCGATCCTTTCAGGAGGAATATTAGCTTTGACTTTGGTCTTCCAACCTTAGTTTGTTGTGAATTATTTTACTCTTCACCAGAATTGGGGTCATAGTACCTCCTGCTATACTGATATCACTTAAGAACCTCCTTAATAAACTTTTTTTTGCCCTATTTTGAAAACAAAGGGCAAAGTTAGCATAGCTTCATTAAATGGAGGTCATGTCTGACAAATCTGTCAGAATTCTTTGAGGTGGTAACAAGGTTAGACAAAGGATAGCCAATGGGCGTTATTGACTTGGACTTCCAGAAGGCCCCTTGACAAGGTGCCACACATGAAGCTGCCAAGTAAGATAAGGGCCCATGGTGTTAGAGGCAAAGTGCTAGCACAGATAGAAGATTGGCTGTCTGGCAGAAAGCAGAGACTGGGGATAAAAGGGTCTTTCTCAGGATGGTACCAGTCGAGTTCTAAGTGTCAGTGTTGGGACCACAACTATTCACTTTACACATTAATGATCTAGATGAAGGAACTGAGGGCATTCTGGCGAAGTTTGTAGATGATACTAAGATAGGTGGAGGGACAGGTAGTATTGAGGATGCGGGGAGGCTGCAGAAGGATTTAGACAGGCTAGGACAGCGGGCAAAGAAGTGGAATGCAACGTTGAAAAGTGTGTGAGGTCATGCACTTTGGCAAGAACAAAAGCATGGACTATTTTCTACATGAGGAGAAAATTCAGAAGTCTAACGTGCGAAGGGACTTGGGAGTCTGAGTCCAGGATTCTCTTAAGGTTAATTTGCAGGTTGAGTTGGTGGTTAGGAAGGAAAGTACAATGTTGGCGTTTATTTCAAGAGGACTAGAATATAAAAGCAGGGACGTACTTCTGAGGCTTTAAGGCTCTGGTAAGACCACATTTGGAGTATTGTGTGCAGTTTTGGGCTCCAAACCTCAGGCAGGATGTACTGACCTTGGAGCAGAGGAGGTTCACGAGAACAATCCAAGGAGTGAAAGGCTCAATATAATGAGGATTGTTGGAGGATGCTGGGTCTATACTCGAAGGAATTTAGAAGAATGTGGTGGTGGAGGTGGAGGGTGTGCAGGGGTGGTGGGTGGGAGATCTAATTGAAACTTACAATACTGAAAGGCCTGGACAGAGCGGACATTGGGAAAACGTTTCCATTAGCAGGAGAGACTAAGATCCAAGGGGACAGCTTTAGAGTAAGTGGAAAACCCTTTAGAACAGAGATGAGGAGAAACTTCTTCAGCCAGTGAGTGGTGAATCTATGGAATTCACTGCCACAGAAGGCTGTGGAGGCCAAGTTATTGAGTATATTTAAGACAGAGTTGGATAGGTTCTTGGTTGTCAAGGGGATTAAAACGTTACCGGGAGAAAGCAAGAGTTGAGAAACTTATCAGCTGTGACTGAATGGCAAAGCAGACTTCATGAGCCAATTGGCCTAATTTCTGCTCCTGTTCGGGTCTCCCTGCTATAGGAAAAATGCTGTGAAACTTGAAAGGGTTCAGAAAAAAATTTACGAGGATGTTGCCAGTGTTGGAGGATTTGAGCTACAGGGAGAAGCTGAATAGGCTGGGGCTATTTTCTCTGGAGCATCACAGGCTGAGGAGTGACGTTATAGAGGTTTGTAAAATCATGAGGAGCATGGATAGAGTAAATAGACAAGGTGTTTTCAATGAGTGAGGAGGTGGTCAAAAACTAGAGGGCATAGGTTTAAAGGCGAGAGGGGAGAGATTTAAAAAAGGACCTGAAGGGTAACATTTTCATGCAGACAGTAGTGCATGTTTGGAATGAACTGCCAAAGGAAGTGGTGGAGGCTGGTATAATTACAACATTTAAGAGGATGGGTACATGAACAGGAAGGGTTTAAGAGGGATATGGGCCAAATGCCATCAAATGGGGCTAGATTTATATCGGATATCTGATGGGCATGAACGAGTTGGACCGAAGGGTCTGTTTCTGTGCTGTACATTGCTATGACTAGGTCTTATGGTCTAACAATACCTCCTGTATTAAAACCCACCTCTTCAACTAAACTTTTGGTCAGTCCACCTGAACCATCCTAAGGATCAGCAAGCATTTCCTTTCAACATCTTTGAAATACACATCCTTCAGTAAAAGACATGAATAACAGGTTCTTCTTCACTGCAGTTCTTGGTCAAAGTCCAGGTTACCAGATTTAGTACTGTGTGGGCAATGACACCACAGTCATCCCCCAAACAGGAAAGATGTGGAAGCGTTGGAAAAGGCGCAGAGGAGATTTACCAGGATGTTGCCTGGAATCGAGAGAAGGTCTTATGAGGAAAGGTTGAGGGAGCTAGGGCTTTTCTCTTTAGAAAAAAGGATGAGAGGTGACTTGATAGGTGGTGTACAAAACGATCAGAGGTACAGATAGAGCGGACAGCCAGAGACTTTTTCCCTCAGGTGGAGGTAGCTATTATGAGGGGGCATAGTTGTAAAGTGAATGGAGGTAGATATAGGGGAGATGTCAGAGGTAGGTTCTTTACTCAGAGTGGTCGGGGTGTGGAATGCATTGCCGGAGAGGGTAGTGGAGTCGGCCTCATGAGGGGCATTTAAGCGGCTATTAGATAGGCATATGGATGATAGTATAAAAGGTAGGGGTGGAGGTTAGATAGACCTTAGATTTAGGGTAAAAATTCAGCAGAACATCATGGGCCGAAGGACCTGTACTGTGCTGTACTGTTCTATGTTCTAAACTGTAGACTACATACATCTATAGAAGTTAATTCAGCTTAGGCCCAATGGTGGCATCAACAGCTCACTGTAGCAGAAGCCATAGTTTTATCCCATTCTGTGCATCTGCTGGAGTTAGACCATTGTGGGGCGAGACATCTCCTGATCCTCTCCAATATGCATGGATGAGGTCATTGAAAAGATGATGAATTTTTTTATTAATAAAAGCAAATTTATAGTGTTTTAAATCAATAAGAGGATACAACATACCATGGATATACAAGGCGAGGGGTGCAGTTGTTAAAACTATACCCATTGGTTGACCAGCAAAGACAGCATACGCCACTCCACCAATGCACTGGGCAAGGATGGTTTTCTGTACATCTGCAAAATAACAAACAGGGTTAGAAGAGGCACTCGCAGTTAGGGATTGTAGATAGGTTTCAACTCCAGCTTGCTTTGCATTGACAAATAAGAATTATCTTCCCCCTGGCTTTATGGGAGACAAGGGACAGAATTTTCCTGTGCTGAAAATCAATGGGGAAGGTGGCAAGAGTCTATGCTAATGGGAGAACCTGGTATCCCATCACCACAGGACACGAGTTCTCAGTGGAAAAGCCTTCCTCTCCAGCACCAACTGAGAGCTTTAAGTAGTTGATGATGGAAGTGGAGTAGTCTGTCTGCCAGGTTTTTTTTGGGGGGTGGGGAAGTGGCCTCGATCTGCCCCAATCTGGGGATGATCAGGGGCACAGATGGGGGTTTATTGCTGAAAGCCACCACCCTGTCCTTCCTGGTCCAAAAAAAAAAAAGACCCATAAAGAGATATCTTGTATGCCCAATGCTCCTAGATCTCGGAGTTGCCATGTCACCAGCAACTACAAGCTCCAAAAGGAGGATGCAACCCATAGTGAATGCCAATCTCAGATTGACTGGCAGCTACAGGCACAACAGGACACCATCGTCCCATTGAACGATCCCAGCGGAAAGCACAGCAGACAACGAGTTGGCTTCCTGATTGGCAAGAGATCCAGCATTTTAACTTGACCTGTTGCTTTTAAAGCAACAAAGTGAAGAACCTGAATCCAAACTTCGATCTGTTATTGAATCTGGAGGTAATTTAGGAGCCTACAACCACAACCAATGTTGCTGCATTACCACTGGGCTATAATCTCCTCCTTGACAGCACTGTCTGTAGCCATCACCATACAAATTGCAGCAATGGCCCACTGCCACTTCCAGGCCTGTCAAACACTGGCAATAGTATATAAATAACTGCAGATGCAGGGAATCTGAAACGAAACCTGAAATTGCTGGAGAAACGCAGCAGGCCTGGCAGCATCTGTGGACAGAAAGCATTTCAGTTCTAGTGGCCCTTCTTCAGCACCAATTGTGGCTTGGAGAAGATGGTATATATGCTGAAGACAGCGTGCGTGTTTCGTCAAGTGGTGGTGGTGTTGGGGGGGGGGGGGGGGGGGGGGGGGGGGGGGG